TACTCTCTATGCATGGACAATGGCAGCTTAGTTCTGCATCGTGCATGAACATTTAGTCTATTGATTTTCTCAATGAAACAATCTCTCTTCGCTCTCCCACTCCCTGGAGATCAAGAAGCATACACCGCACCACTACCCCTTCAATTTTCAGCCAACAACAAACTGATGAGACAAAATGGGCTGAAAAGGAGTGACTGAAAATTATTCAGGGATCCTCCAAAGAATAGGATAGGATAGGATAGGATAGGATAGGATAGGATAGGATAGGATAGGATAGGATAGGATAGGATAGGATAGATAGAATAGGAATAGAATAGAATAGAATAGAATAGAATAGAATAGAATAGAATAGAATAGAATAGAATAGAATAGAATAGAATAGAATAGAATAGTTGGAAGGGACCTTGGAGGTCTTCAAATCCAGGCAGGAAACCCTACAATATTTCAGACAAATGATTATCCAATCGCATCTTAAAAGCTTTCAGTGTTGGAGCATTTACAACTTCTGGAGGCAAGTTATTCCACTGATTAATTGTTCTAACTGTCAGGAAATTTCTCCTTAGTTCTAAGCTATTTCTCTCCTTGTTTAGTTTCAAGTCAACCCATTGCTTCTTGTCCTACCCTCAGGTGCTTTGGAGAGTAGCTTGACTCCCTCTTCTTTGTGGCAGCCCCTGAGATATTGAAACACTGCTATCATGTCTCCCCTAGTCCTTCTTTTCATTAAACTAGACATACCCAATTACTGCAACCATTCTTCATATGTTTTAGCCTCCAGATCTCACATATCTCCAGCTCTCCCATATCTAAGCAAAAAGTTGACACTGATCTCTTACCGATACTCCCTGCTCAAAGCCTTCTGGATTCATTAGAATCAGAAATAGCTTACCTGCAATACTGATGGGTACAAAAAGCTAATTTATTACAGGTATTAGGGTGTATGTATCAAACTGGGGCAAAATGGCATTTTGGAATTCTCCATCCAATTGGTGGGAACAGAAATGTGGGGAATGTTTTCCTCAACCTCTTCCTAGGAAAGGAGAAGATCTCCAAACATTTCTCAAAGACAGGATTCACCCTTTGCAGCTATGGAAAACAATCCAGGAGGGAATTCACTCTTGATGTCTTGGGATTTAATGAAAAAAAAAAAAGAGAGACATAGAAGCAGTGGATTTCTCTACAGGAAAGACTGTGTAAAAAAAATAAATAAAGTTTGTCTTTCCTACCCCTTAGCAATCTCCTACTGAAATAAGTGCAAGAACTCCATGAGGATTTCTCTGAGATTCCTTTTTTCCCCCCTCTGAAGTTATTTAAAAGGAAAATTCTTTTTTTCATCAGAACGAAGGAGAGTTGCTAACAAAAGAACTTCCTGTTCAACACTAGTGCACATCACAAATATTGCCTTAGAGGCAAATCAGAACAATGGACTCTCTAAGCTGACCGATGTGATATCAGACTATCCAACACAATCTAACATTTCCAAGCATTGATCCCAAGGCCATTTATATGCCAAATATGCCATTGAGTCTCTCTCCCTTTGCTGCTGCTCCCTGCTGCTGCTGCTACTGCTTGAATGAATGCACGAGCACTGACTTTATTAAAATCTGGCATAAAATAATATACTCTATCACATTTGATTCTAAATTACTAGCTGGGAGTGACAATCCTGCAACGTGCTTCCACAATAAAAAAAAAAATAGTTGAAATTCTAAGACACACCAGAGATGGAATTTGGCATACTGATGAAGATGTATGGGGGAAGAAAAAAGAGTGATCACCAAATGGCAATTGAAAGTAAAGCTGGTTAAATCCATTGATCAATTAAACACAACAATATCTCTTCAATGGGGTGGTCCAATGTACCCTTTCCCATTCTGAGCCACTTTTGATCTATAGATAGGCATCAGCAGGATGGCAGCCCCACCCATTCCTAATTTAACTTCTGGAATGCCCAATGAGTATTTAAATTTAGCCTTTCTTGTTAGAAAAATTCTGGGGCTTGCCATCATGGGTCTATCAAGTCATATTATTAAACAGTTTGCATTTATATTCTGCCATAGTCCACTGACTATAATTCTGAAGGTACAAATTTAAAATAATTCTACCTAGATGTATTTTGGCATCTGATTTTGGATTTGAACCACAGAGGAAATCTTGGTGGGCCATTGAATGCTAGCATTTAAAAAGAATAATTTAAAAGCCTATCTTGGTAACAGCAGCCCTATTTTTTTTTTCACTTCTCCAGTGTTTGTGGGAAACTGATATGAAAAAGCAAACAGCTCTCTCCAATCACTGGAGACCGGTATTATCAAGGCAAGCTTTTATTATTATTTTTTTTAATGCTGGGGAAAAAAAATCCACTTAGACACCTTGGGCCTTAAACAAAACTAAGAATCTAATCTGTTGTATGCTTTGGGGGAATTGAAAAAAAATAATTTCTCCTGAAAAAATGGTGAGACCTTAGAAGTGTCCTTTCAAAGCAGCAGAAAGAATAAAATATCTTAGGATGCATGAAATGGCTGCTGGAAAGAGAAAGATTCAATTAGATTGGAATTAAAAATTGCACTAAAGATATGAAAGGAGGAACAGAAAAGAATATAGCCCAACCTCCGTTGAAACTTCAAATGCCCTTATGAGAGAGATTTTGCCATAAGAGCAAAGAAAACATATTTTTATCCTGGAACAGCCTTAGACCAGCTTCGGCCTGCTTCGGCAGCAAGCTGCCATTGAGGTAAAGGTTATGTTATGAGGACATGTCTTCAAGAAACAGTGAAATACTTTCATGCTGTGAAAAACAGGTATGTCAATAAGCCCTGCTCTGATCTAACAGAATAAGAAAGTTGGAAGGGACCTTGGAGGTCTTTTAGTCCACCCCCCTGCTCAAACAGGAAACTCTACACCAATTCAGACAAACAGTTGTCCAGTCTCTTCATAAAGTAAGAATAAAGAATCTAGCAAGAATAAAGTGAATGTATTGTTAAATGGTATTAAAATGTAGGGCTATGCAATGCCTCACATTAAATTCAGAAGAATTACTTTGAAAACCCCTGGAATGGGTGCTATTCAGAAGGTACTGTCAGGTTTTGGAGAACCGGTAGCGGAAATTTTGAGTAGTTCGGAGAACCGGCAAATACCACCTCCGGCTGGCCCCAGAGTGGGGTGGGAATGGGGATTTTGCAGTATCCTTCCAATGGTGGGTTTCAAAAAAATTTATTGCTGGTTCTGTGGGTTTGGTGGGTGTGGCATAGCTTGGTGGGCGTGGCTTGGTGGGCATGGCAGGGGAAGGATACTGTAAAATCTCCATTCCCACCCCACCCCAGGGGAAGGATACTGTAAAATTTCCATTCCCTCCCCACTTCAGGGGAAGGTTACTGCAAAATCCCCATTTCCTCCTGATCAGCTGGGACTCAGGAGGCAGAGAATAGATGGGGGTGGGGCCAGTCAGAGGTGGTATTTACCAGTTCTCCAAACTACTCAAACTTTCTGCTACCGGTTCTCCAGAACTGGTCAGAACCTGCTGAAATCCACTGCTGTATCCTTCCCCTGGAGTTGGGTGGGAATGGAGATTTTGCAGTATCCTTCCCCTGTCACACCCACCAAGCCACACCCACAGAACCGGTAGTAAAAAAATTTGAATTCCACCACTGCCCTGGAAACATGAATACAGCACCTTCCTGGGATATTGTAAAGCAGCCGTATCTGCTTCCATAATCACACAGTGCCTCTAAAGTGTTACATGCAGAGTGCTGGGTTGATGTTCCTCAGATCCCACAGCCTCTCTTCCAAGTTCAATCCAAAGCACCACACAGTTCTAATAAGAAGTGTATCAAGTAAGTTTGACCAAGTGCCTGTACAGGTAGTCCTCGACTTACAGCGGCTCACCTAGTGACCATTGAAGTTACAACAGCACTGGGAAAAAAAGTGACTTATGACCATTTTTCACACTTCTGACCATCATCACTGCATCCCATGGTCATGTGATTTACATTTGTATGCATGGTCCTGGGTTTGTCATGTGATCCCCTTTTGTGACCTTCTGACAAGCAAAGTCTATGGGGAAGCCGGATTCACATAACAATCCTGTTGCTAACTTGACAACTGCAGTGATTCACTTAACAACTGTGGCAACAAAAGTCGTAAAAGGGGGCAAAAGTCACTTAACAAAGTTCTCCCTTAGCAACATCAATGTTGGGCTCAATTGTGGTCTTAAGTTGAGGACTACCTGTAGATGACCTGATTGCCCCTTCACTGAGTGTTTACCTTCTTCCATTAGACCGAGCTGCTAATCTCTAAGAGGAAGCTGAGTCAGATTCAGCTCTGAAGAGAGAGGTACGTTTGTTGGAAAAGGAGTGGAGCTGCCTGTTCTGACCCAGGCCTCCCAAGCAGACTCCTCGTCCCGATAAAACCTCTTTTATTTAGGTTAAAGGGAAATTCCTCGCTAGCAAAGTCCCGGCAAACAGTCTTTCGTGAGATTTCACAACTACAGACCTTTATCAGGCTTGGAGAGTTGCCAAGCCGATATCTTCCAAACTCCACGCTGTAGCAGCAATTACTTGGCAAGAAGTCAGGAACAGATCTTCACCCTGATGAATTGAACTAACTGTCTCCTGCAAACTCCCCTCCCCTTCGCTCCTCTTTATTTCCTATGGGAGGGTCCATTCACCGTCCACCTGTGGCTTTACTCTCGGGTTGGCCTTTGTTCCTTAGCTGTTCCCTTCTCCTGGCAGCTCTGCACATGCGCACATAGGGAACAGGTTCCAACTGTTCTTCTGCCTCACTGATTTCTGACTCCGAAGGCAGCTGATAACTATCAGACGGCCCTGGCCCCATCTCTGCCTCCGACACAGAGCACTCGTCAGAGCCTTCCCCAGACTCCAGGACTGGCCCATGTTCCTCCCCAACCTCCTCACTCTCTGAGTCTGCCACCAGCTCCGCTGGCCGCTGGCGGGCCACAACACTGCCTGCATGACAGCAAGAACAAAGTCGTCAAAATGCTTCCTTACCCTTTCCGAATGACAACGATGATTGCCCCAAGGAGGATGATCAACACCACCAGTCCTCCAGCACAGATGCCCAAAATGAGACCCATTTCCTCCGAGTGCTGGGAAACTTCCAAGGGACGCTTGCTTTCTTTACAGGCAGCTGTAGGAGATAAACAGCAAACAGGTGGGTCAAGAGAACCTGAAAATAGGAGAGGGACACCCTGAGCTTCTCCTTCTCTTACATATAATTTACATGCATCATCAGACGACATAGGAACAAGATTGCTGGATCTCATCAGATATATTTTTAAAGGTTGTTACAGCAGGTTAGCAACAATATCTTGCCAATTGAGCTCCTCCACCCACCCACCCACACACACACACACACACACACACACACAAATCCCCCCAAAAACTAAGCAGGATAAACTTGGTTAGTGTTTGAGTTGGAGACACCCCCCCAAAAAAAATATCTCAAAAATGGACATTATATTGTGGAATCAAAAGAGCATCCTGGAAGAAATCAGTAGAGAACTGCTTCAATATTCATGGATGCGTCCATGGTGTCACTGACAATTGAGTTCAATCCAAGGAAGTTTCACCTTTGCCTTTAGTTATTCATGGAGCTTATGGAGTTATGGCATTCTTATCAGTTTAAATAAAATTAAAAAATACCTAAAAATGGGAATGAGGAATTCTTATCACCATATTTCAGAGATATAGAATTGGTAGGGGAGACTTGGGCTATTGAGGCAACCTCTGCTTCACTATGGAATTCCAATTAAACCCTCCTTAGATAAAGCTAAAGGTTCTCCTCACACATGCATGCTAGTTGTTCCTGACCCTAGGGGGTGGTGCTCATTTCTGTTTCTAGGCTGAAGAGCCAGCACTGTCCGAAGACATCTCCATGGTCATGTGACCGGCATGACTAAATGCCAAAGGCGCACAGAACGCTGCTACCTTCCCATCAAAGGTGGTCCCTATTTTTCTACTTGCATTTTTTACATGCTTGCAAACTGCTAGGTTGGCAGAAGCTGGGACAAGTAACAGGAGCTCACTCCATTACATGACACTAGGGATTCGAACCGCTGAACTGCCAATCTTTCGATCGACAAGCTCAGCGTCTTAGCCACTGAGCCACCGTGTCCTTAAGAGATGCCTTTTTAGCTTCGGCTTGATTACATTCGCTGGAGGAAAAGCCACACCTTGTTTGAATCACTGGTTCCCTTGTCAAACGTTCTGACAATTAAGAAATTTTCAACTAAACCCTGGAGTCTGATGTTCTGCTCTCCGGAGAACCATGTGAATTCTCATATTGCCTCAAAGAAATATCCTCTTTCTGTTTTGTCTTCTTGAAGCGAAATGTTTACCCCTGGGTTTTAGTGGGTAAAATTCAAGGGGCGCCAAAACCATCAGAAGGATGCTTTTAAGGGTTGTATGCAATCTGCAGACCACCCAGGGAATCGTAGATAAAGGAAGCTCTGTACTAAATAAACGTGCATTCAGTTCTAAAGTTGATACTTCTTTCCATAGCAACTTTTCATTTTCTTAAACATGTTACAGCTGGTGGGTAGATTGCTAGACTTGCATATAGTTACAATGCTCCTCTGATTACTTCTGTTGGTAATAGAATTTATGCTTTTCCACCAGCAAATTGGAATTATCCTCCAATGATATACATGATTGTCAAAAAAAAAGAAAACCCCACTTCTTCTATATCACATGTCAAATTATCCCACTGTAACACTGGTAGTTCTTATTTCTGTAGTTCTCAGAGCCAAAGAAGGATGAAAGCACCACATTCTCAATTATTTCTTATTTATTTATAGAGCTGACTGCCTAGTCCCATGATGGCGAACCTATGCCACGCGTGCCACAGGTGGCACATGGAGCCATATTGGTGGGCACGCGAGCGTTGCCCTAGCTCAGCTCCAGCACACATGTGTGCACTGGCCAGCTGATTTTTGGGCCTTCTGGGCCCAATGGAAATCAGTAAATGGCCTTTTTCCAGCCTCCGGAGGGCCTCCAGAGAGGTGGGGAAGGCTGTTTTTGCCCTGCCAAGGCTCCTAGAAAGCCTCTGGAGCCTGGGGAGGGCAAAAACCGGGCCTACTATGCCCACCATCACATGCCAAAAGCAGGGGGAGCATGGGGGATCACACACACACATGCGTGGGGGGGCGCATAGAATTATGGGTGTGGGCACGCACGAGCGCGACCCCCCCAGCACTCCCCCAGCTTTTGGCACGCGATGGCAAAAAGGTTAGCCATCACTGGCCTAGTCCAACAACCAAATCTGAAGCATGTATGTTGTTGATGTCTGACAAGGAGATGTTTGACATAGCTAATACATACATCACTTGCATGGTTGACATTTGAAGAGCCATAACGTTTTCCAACCTAGTCAAAATTTGCCTAGAGATTCTCGGTTTTTCAATTAAGTCACAAGCAACAGTCTTCGGAATTCACATGGTGAATTATTTAGTAGTTGATGTCATTGTTTTGATGATACTTAGAACTGCCCTTGTGGAAATTTGGCAGGAATCATCCATCTGTGTGTCTTTTGCAATTAAAAGCAAGACACAAGCAAGAAACCTCCAGCCATTGCCTCCGAACAAATCTGGCTTACAATATGTCCTTAAATGAATTGAATTAGGCTTCATCGTCAAGAGGAATGTGTCATTTCAAAGTTTCTGATGAGCAGATTGAGTTCATACCGTTTAAGGTACACTTTCTGCGTACATGTTGTATGTTTTTATTTGTTTTCATTTTAATTGTTTTTATTTTAAAGTGGGATTGAATACGAAACTAAAAATCTACCATGTTTCATATCCTGAATCAAAGGAACAATACATTAACAAACTACAGTAAGGAAACTCTATGCACTCCTCAAGGGCAGCCCCCTGTAGAGCACGTTAAAGATAAAGGTAAAGGTTCCCCTTGCACATATGTGCTAGTTGTTCCTGACTCTAGGGGGCAGTACTCATCTCTGTTTCAAAGCCGAAGAGCCAGCGCTGTCCAAAGACATCTCCGTGGTCATGTGGCTGGCATGACTAAACGCCAAAGGCGCCCGGAATGCTGTTACCTTCCCACCAAAGGTGGTCCCTATTTTTCTACTTGCATTTTTTACGTGCTTTCAAAGTGCTAGGTTGGCAGAAGCTGGGACAAGTAACGGGAGCTCACCCCATTATGCGGCATCTTTCGATCAACAAGCTCAGCGTCTTAGCCACTGAGCCACCGCGTCCATTGTAGAGAACATTACAGCAATCCAAATGGGAGGTGGCTGAGTCACCATGAGCCAGACCACCAAATCCAGGAATAGACACAATTAGAACAAACTACTGTAGCCATGACTGCCACCTCCTCTTCAACAAGGAGCCATAAGGATCCTCAAATTGTGTCCCAACTGTGAAGTGTACCAGAGTTGAAGATGGAAAGTCTCCAGATCCAAGTCACCAAGGATTATGCCTAAATATCTTGTCTTCCATCATACAAGTTCTCTGTCACTCAGTCTACAGCCTCCCTGGCATCCCTAACTTCCCTTCCATTCAATGGTGGGTTGCTCCCGGTTCGCATCGGTTCGGAAGAACAGGTAGTAAAAATTTGTAGTAGTTCGGAGAACCGGTAATAACATTGGCTGGCCATGCCCCCGAACCAGTCCCCGGCCCGGTCACTTACCCTGCTCACCTCATCAGAGGCTTTTTTTTTTTTTACTTTTAAAAGCATTTTTTTCTGCAACCTCTTAAGGTTGTCAAAAAAATGCTTTTAAAAGTAAAAAAAAAGGTTGGCCACGCCCACCCAGTCATATTACCCCCCACCAAGGCATGCCCACAAAATAAGCCACGCCCACAGAACCGGTAGTAAAAAAATTTAGAACCCACCCCTGCTTCCATTCCATAAGACATGATCAGGAGCAGTGGTGCTATTCAACTGGTTTTATCCGGTTTGGGCAAACCGGCAGTGGCGGCAGCGGGAGGCTCCGCCCACCCGCCCAGACATCATGACATCCCGTTTTTGACGCTCTACACATGCGCACACTCCCATTTGCGAACTGGTAGTGAAGGCAAGTGAATACCATCCCTGATCAGGAGGGACCTCCTTTTGTTCAGATTGAGAAATATGGAAAAAGGCCAGCAAGTAGCATCCTCTACCATTTCCATCAAGCAAACACAAATCTGCTACCAGAAAATGTGAGAAAGAATATTTGTGAGGGCGATGGGTGGTTCAAAAATGTGATGAATAAAATAAATAAATAAATAAATAAAAACTAATCCTCAAGGCCCCTGAGAATAAGATTGAAAAAGAGAAAACATTTCAACCCAACATTAAAACTACATATCTCAAGGCCAATTGCCCATCACAGCATCTTTCAGTGAATTTGGGGATCTCTCGATTCCCTTTGTCTAGAATTGTTCTCCTTCTGGTCTTATTCTCGGCTGGCATTTAGATAGCACAGAAGGTTCTGCGCATGTGCAGAAGCACCACGCACGAGTGAAGCGACTGTGCACACGCTCGCTCCCGGTTCTGAACCAGTAGCAAGGTAAATGGAACCCACTACTGATTATCACCCAACCATTGCCCATCTTTGATGCAGATTGTTATTATAGATTGCTTTTAACAGCTGAATTTTAGAGTACAGTAATTTCTCCAAAGTCTGCCTTTTATGTAGAACAAAAACAACCCTCCCCAAAAAGTCTTTGTTCTTCCAGTGTCTCTGGAGAGCCGTTCAGATTACTGCTGGGGTTTTTTGGATTATGTCTGGGGGAAATGAGATTTTGTTGTGGCCCGCCAGCGGCCTGCGCGGATCGTGGCTGATCCTGATGACGAGGAGGCTGGTGTGGTGTCGCGCCAGCAGCCTGCGCAGCCGGCGCTCGTGTCGGACAGCGAGGAGGCCGAAGAGGATGTGGTGCCAGAGGCAGAGACTCAGCCAGGGCCGTCAGAACCTCCAGAGGTTCCTTCAAGTGGAGAGAGCGAAGTGGAGGAGCTTCTCCTCAATGCTCAAGCACGCAGGGCTGCCAAAGGGCAGGAGTGGCTACTCAGGAGGAGGAGGTCTCCTCGAGAGTAAGGCTTGAGGATAATTGGCCACTCTCTTAGCCTATTTAAGTCACATGCCGTTAGTAAGTTTCTTGCTGGAAACAACTTGTAATTATCATCAGAGCATTTTTGGAAAAGTCTTATCGTATCTTGTTTTCTGGGCTGGTTGCCAACCTTTGCCGGACTTTGGTTTATTCTTGCTACTTAATAAATTTGATAAGGACCGTTGGTATGTGTCAATATCCTTGGGAATCTGGAGCTGGGGCAGAACAGATTTGTACAATTCAGACTTCAGGAGGGGAAGGAAGGAAAGGAAGATGCCACTTGAGTGTGTGATGAAAGCAATTGCCCTACACATCTACAGAGGCAGGGAAAGACTTCTTAGAAGTGGAGAGCTTTTACGAAGCATGAGGAGAGGGAGGAAGAGGGGGGACACTTTAGTGTAGTGGCAAAGGTGTCTGGCTAAAAACCAGGAGACCATGAGTTCTAGTCTTTCCTTAAGTGTGAAAATTATCTGGGTGACTTTGGGCCAGTCTCTCTCTCTCTCAGCTCTAGGAAGAAGAAGGCAAGGACCAACTACTTCCAAAAACCAGAGCCAATTTTATCTAGTGGTGAAGGCACCAGACTAGAAACCAGGAGACTGTGAGTTCTAGTCCTTCCTTAGCCAATTGGGTGAGTCCTTCTCAACCCAACCCATCTCATAGGATGGTTGATATGGCGGAAATAAGAAGTGGTAGCATCACCTTGAATCGACCAAATATAAAGGTAGAATTTTTAAAAAAAATCAAGCAAATAAACGTATAAGAATATTTACCTTTCCGAGCTATTCGGATACAATTCAGCCTTGTTTCCTACAAAAGAAGAAAAAGATAAGCAAGGTTTTTATCACACCCATGATCTCTTTGACTTGTTACCTGAAATGAAAGATATCAAATCAATTATTCAAAATAAAATTCAAACAAATTCAAATTCAGATGTCAAAATTATTACGGTCATAGACCAACATATGAGGGAGATCATAATACTCGGGGAGCTATTTCATTTTTGTTTTTTGAGGAAGGGATGAACGTGTTAGATATTGTACCATTTTCCAGGGTGGCTGCAAACCACTAAATATGAACATTCCATGAACTATATGTTTCTTTTCCAATTATCATTGGTACGTGCACCTCATACCTGACAAATTCCCTTTGATAACACTTTTTTTCCCCTTTAGACCAGTGTTTCTCAACCTTGGTCACCTGAAGATGTGTGGACTTCAACTCCCAGAATCCCCCAGCCAGCAGAGCTGGCTGGGGAATTCTGGGTGTTGAAGTCCACGCATCTTCAGGTGGCCAAGGTTGAGAAACACTGCTTTAGACCAAGTGAAATTACTTAGGGAAGAATACACACACACAAAACCCCTCATTTAAGACTTCACTACTTCCTGACAGCTTGAAATAAAAATCATTCTCAGATCTTTCCTCAATATTCTGGAGACCCACCATTGATGCTGTGCTGGATTCACCAATGGCCTGGCTTGGTATAAGGGCAGGGTGGTGGGTTTTTTGGTGAGCAAACAGACCCCTATCCAGAGTATCTAAACAGTGGTCTCCAACTTTTCTGGCTCCATGGACCAGCAGTAGCAATGGCAGGGGAGTGAGGGATGATTTCGTGCACACAATTGATCTCCCACACATGCACAAATGAAGCTTAACATGCTTGCCACCGCTTGTGCAGCCTGGTTCCAAATGGGCCATGGATCAGTACCAGTACGCGGCCCAGGAGTTGGGGACCCCTGACCTAAAACTAAAGAAAAATTTCCTGACTGTGAGAATAAGTAAGCAGTGGGATGGTTTGCCTCCAGAAGTTGTGGATGATGATGATGATGATGATGATGATGATGATGATGATGATGATAACAACAACAACAACAACAACAACAACACAACAACATTAATAATAATATTAATATAAATGGAGCAATACCCAAAGAGCTACCCCGCTATTTAGAAATTCTAAATTTACAGGACTTGAACATTTTGACTCTACAAAAAACCACCTTACTCGGAACAGCTTACATCCTCCGACGATACCTTAACAGTTCCTAGGTCCTTGGTTAGGACTTGAGCTGCTGAGCTATTAACCAGCCTCAAAGGCTGTGAATCTCACTAAAGATTAAATAATAACAATAATAATAATAACAACAACTACTACTACTACTACTACTACTACTACTACTACTACTACTACTACTACTTTATTGTCATTGTATGTGTATACACAGTATACCATACAACAAAATTCACTTAACACCCAAAGACCAGGTCCAACACACATAACAATCCCCAAACACACTCCCACCCACCACATATTCCCCACCCCATTGATGCTCCCTCATTGGAGGTTTTTAAGAAGAGATTGGACAGCCTTTTGTCCAGAATGGTAGAGGGTCTCCTGCTTGAGCATGGGGTTAGACTAGAAGACCTCCAAAGTCCCTTCCAACTCCATTATTCTGTCATTCTTCATCTGCAGGCTGCAGATTTCAGGTATCTCCCAGAAAGGAACGGAAATGCTGCCCCTTCAGTCACAATTTGGTAATCTGAGACACATTTGAAGGGAGGCTATGCCATTTGACACTGAATCTCCACTCACCATCACTACCACAGATTACAGCCTACAGGTAAGGAAACAACACAATTAGGCTGATGGTTTTCCTTGGCAAGGACTGACAATAAGTTATTCAAGAGACTGGGCAGAGGCTCAGGCACCAAAGCAAGAAAATCCACTTGTCCTCTGCTTTCTATCCTCCATTGTCCAGATCCTCCCTCAAAATCTTTCCCCAGCACAAAAACATTCTCCACTTTGTTTGCCTGCCTGCCTCCCTGCCTGTCTTCCTGCCAAATGATATAATAATGCCACTGCTGCAGATGGAAGTGGAGGAAATTAAACCAATCGTCATTATTTGGCTTAATGTCCCTTCTATCAACTCATGGCGTTAAGATTCCTTGTTGGACCGTTGGGAATATTTCGATGCCAACTGCAAGAGAACCAGATTGCATTTGCAAGGAAGAGACTAGAAAGAATCCTGGGCAAAGTTAAAGTCTTTCAAAAACAGTCCTGTAGCTGCTCTGTTCCTCCTAAAATCTGGGCTGTGAAATGAGCGTGGTCTTACAATAATTAACATTTTGGGCTTGGAAGAGACCACATGAATCCCAAGAATAATCTCCTGAAACCAAACAAGGGTTAAGAACAAGCTTTTGTTATCTTTTTTTTAAGGTCTCGGTGGTGCAGTGGTTAGAGTGCAGTACTGCAGGCTACTTCTGCTGACTGCCAGCTGCCCGCAATTTGGCAGTTCGAATCTTACCAGGCTCAAGGTTGACTCAGCCTTCCTTCCTTCCAAGGTGGATAAAATGAGGACTCAGATTGTTGGGGACAATATGCTGACTTTGTAAACCGCTTAGAGAGGGCTGTAAAGCACTATGAAGCAGTATATAAGTCTAAGTGCTATTGCTATTGCAATTTTTAGTTTAAATAAAGCATAGACACATCTGAATATACTCTGAATGGCTTACGACTTGCATGACATTTGACAAATGCAAGTGGGTGATGTGGGAACCAGGGAAGGACTTCAAGAAAACTGAGAAGGTTTGGAAACATAAGTTGACCATCTGCCCAGGTTGCTGAATTCCCAAGCCTTTTGCCCTTTTGCCTAAGCAAGGAAACGGGCAAGATAACTTCTTAATAGTTTTAAGTTAAATCCACAGTTAAAATCCAGAGTGTTAGTTTGGCGTAGTGGTTAAAGCATCAGGCTAGAAACCGGGAGTCTGTGAGTTCTAGTTCTACCTTAGATCACTCTTTTTCAGTCATGGGAAGCAGGCAATGGCAAACCACTTCTGAAATCTTGCCAAAAAAACCTGCAGGGACTTGTCCAGGCAGCCACCAGGAATTAAAAAAAATACTGAGTTGAAAACACAAAAAGAAGAAAAAAACCTAAATCGCATTGCTCCATTGTCAGATGGCTTTCTTCCCTTGGATAGTTTTGTGATCTTCTGCTGTTCTCACATCTTATTTCAGTATTGATCATACTTGCCATCAGACAGTTATACAAAACCTGCATAGTACAATGCTGAACCATGATTAATTGATGGATGGATAGAGAGAGAGAAATCTGATTCTGCAGGAAAAGAAAAGGTCTGGATCATATGTAAGATCCTTAAAACAAAGCTGAGGATAAGAACATGGGACGTACATCATGCCAAATGTTGTCTAGTCTAATAAACAGTAACCGCTATCTCCATCATTTGATTCCTGATGTTTTTAACTGGAGAGGGTATGCTTGGAGATGTTGCTCCTGCATATAAATTCTGTGCTCTGCCAGAGATCCTGCAGCTTATAAAAGATTTAAAAACAATTTAACTGAATCTTGAAATGTGTTCAACTTGTGAAATTAGATTCAGTCATCCCATTTCATACTGAATGAGAGTTGATTGCAGAGCCCTACTGCTAATCTTGGACATCTAAATGTGATGAAGTCCGGTGGGCTGTTTTTTGATTTTCATTTAATGAAAATCAAATTTGCACATTGCCTGTACAGTGTGTGTACATGCATACGTCCCTGTACAGGCAGCCCAGATCATGCGTAAATAATATGTATGAGTCACCCATCCAGATGGGACCCTTGCATTACAAGCATACAAGACTGCTAAGTTATTTATCCATTTAGCTAGATTGTCTGGCAAACGCTTCCCCAAGTCTGAAGATTAAAGATTTGCCAGTCTTTTTAAACTGGAAATGGAAGCAACTCAATTTAGGATGCTCCACATACGAAGAAAGTGTTCCTCCCCTTAATTATAGTCCTAAATGTTAGGAAATCATCTCATGGTTCAATTAGTGGTGGGAACACCTACTGCAATAAGACGGTTGAACTTAAGACTGTTGGGTATTTCACCCTAATAGGAAATCACAGTCAGCTTAAGGAAAAAAATCATAGAAACCAGGGGTGAAATTCAGCAGGTTCTGACAGATTCTGGAGAACCGGTAGTGGAAATTTTGAGTAGTTCAGAGAACCGGTAGTGAAAATTTTGAGTAGTTCAGAGAACCAGCAAATACCACCTCTGGCTGGCCCCAGAGTGGGGTGGGAATGGAGATTTTGCAATATGCTTCCCCTGGAATGGGATGGGAATGGAGATTTTGCAATATCCTTCCCCTGCCATGCCCAACAAGCCACGCCACACCCACCAAGACACGCCCACAGAACCAGTAGTAAAAAAAAAATGGATTTCACCACTGATAGAAACTAATATATTTTAAAGATGGAGTTGTACCAATTAACACCCAGAGCTTGCTACTTACCCCTTTGAGATTGCTCATAGCCTGGAAATAGATGAGATAGGCTTTCTTGGGTTCCAGCGGAGGATTCCAGTAACCACTGTAGGTTTGATTGTCCCCTACAGTGAAGGGTCTGGCTTCTGTGAGGCTGCCTGGGGACAGTTCAGCTCCGAAGTAGTGAACCAAGCCACGGGACATGGCATCATCAAAAGTGAGTGGCACTGGAAAGCATTCTGGGCCACTTAACTCCCGCTTGATCTTCCTAGGTCTGTCTTCTTCCACAATGACTTGATATGTGCTGAGATCCCAGGAAGCAGAGAAGGTTGGGAAGAGAAAGCAAAAACAATAGGCGATGTTAAATGAAGCCCATCCTAAACTAATTTAATTTTAATTATTTATTTTTCACACTTCTTTAACCCTTCATCTCCCTCAGAGAGGGGCTGTTGATTCCCCTACACTGCCCTTTCTAAATCCACATTGTCTATCTTCTGACTTATCTATTTGTAGTGGATAATAAATCTTTTGATCTAAGGGGATGGCATCACCACTCCACTGTTGGTAAATGAATTGCCTTCAGGAAAGTTTCCAGGAGGAAGGAAGAAACAGATACACTTTTGATTCTGGAATACCCCATTATTCCGATGCTGGAGGAAGTGCTTATAACTTCCTGCTAAGAGATTGCAGAATATGCTATGAAATAAGCATGGTCGTGTTTGTCCGAGACCTCCAAAAAGTTTTCCATCAGCAAAGGAATTAAAGCCAACTGGAAGAAGGAATGCTCATACTATTATCTGAAAGACTCCTCCTGAAAACTTCGCAAATAATTTTGCCTTCTCATAGAAGCATTCCCCTGTAAATGGAACATTAGCAGCAGGGTTTTCCCCCCTCAATTCTACATCATAATAGTCAATCACCCAGCACCATAATAGTCAATGATAAGTATTGTCAACTTGGGACCCTTAACTTAATTTTACACAGCTCTTGACTAATTGCAAAGGCTTCCTGCAAGCTGTAAATTGGCGTTTGTCAAAGCAATCTGTAGCGAGGAAGAAATAGAGTGGAAAAGGGGGTTTCAGACCCAAGAACGACATGTGGGGATTCTTCCAAGCTGAGTTTTGTATTGTTTCCCCACCTGTAGACGGAATCTTGCCAGACTAAACACTCTGACTATCTGCATCTATCATATCCTCTGGGAACTATTAGGGAGGGACTGTCTTCACTTTCATTCTCTCACATAAAATATCTAGATGAATTGTCTCTTATTCCTCTGGAATGCACCCTCTTCTTCCTGGGGATCCAGGCTACTAGATTCCATCACAAGAGAGTATCAACAAGAAGAAAAAGATGCTTCATCTACATTTGTTTCTAATTGTACTCCCATTTAAGCTCCACCTATTGTTTCCAGAAAGGACCTATGGACTCTCTTATTCTTAAGAGAAAAAGCAGAAAAGGTGCTCCTGCATTATGTGAATGTAGTAGAAGATAACATACATTCACAGAGCTTCTGGGTTCCTGCAGTTTGCCTCACTTTGGGCCAGCTAGTAACGTATCAGGGATCTGGCGAAAAGCATTTTCATTATGGAGGCATTGCTGATCTGTTTCAATGACTTACCAAAGCAGATGCGCTGTCATCCGTTCTCCATCTTTGAAATTACCAAAATAGCTCCCCAAGGAAGACAGATACAAGCTTTGGCCAACCAATCTGATCGGAAGGCAGCTGCTAAATTTGGATCTTGCTGACTGCCGTTTCCTCACTGCCAAAAGCTAAAGGAAAGGAAGCTCCCAACTCGGTATACACAACACGTTCAAAGAAGCCTAGGCTGGTCCTTCCTCCAAGCAAAAGCCCCAGGAGATCCACTAAGGAAGATGTCGCTCTTCCATTGCCCATCAACACAACACACAATTGTTCTATTCTGCCTTTGGAAGGGTCTCACTAAAGATCTCAAAACAGAAGCTTTGGCAACCTTACTACCACCATCAAAATAGCTATTAGCCATGTGTCTAAAGGTATCCGCTTAAATACCTGACAAAGTCTTGCATACTGAAACAGGTTTTGTTAACCACCTGGTTGAAAAAAGCAAACCAATTCTTTCCCTCCCTGAGACAGATAAATGGATAGCGAAGACGACACAGGAAGCCGAAAAGCCTAAAACATATTAAGCTGACAGTCACATCCCTCAGTTTTGTCTGGAAGTGAAAGCTCCTGACAAAATCCCAGTAGTATAATTCAGCTGCTAACCTAATGAAGTCTTCAAAGCCAACTAGTTACATCTGTGCTCTTGCAAGAACAGAGCGATGCAGAAGTGTGACACAAGGCTGTCTGCTTAGAACCCCCACATCCTCCCAACGCAGTTAACCACAGGCATTGATGTAGGAAAGTGCCCTAACACAGGGATCTCCAACCTTGGCAACTTTAAGACTTGTGGACTTCAACTCCCAGAATTCCTCAGCATGGCTGGCTGAGGAGTTCTGGGAGTTGAAGTCCGCAAGCCTTACAGTTGCCAAGGTTGGAGATCCCTGCTCTAAAAGGCCTGGAGGCAAAATTTAAACCTTCACTTTCTTAGGGGCATATTTTTCTTTCCAAGCTTAATCGGTGGGAAGGGGGAAAGGAACCGAAAATGCTGAAATAGTTCATCAGATTATGTTTTAATAGGTTATTTAAAATGAAAAGTATCAGATTATGTTATTATCTGAAACAGGATAAACATGCTGCATGGGTGAAGGCTGGAACAACTGTGTGCCCCATAGAAAGACAACTGAAGAAAAGAAAATTATTTCTGGGTAGAAGTATTCAATTGATGGATAGCACAAGTAGGGCCAATGGTTCTCAATGCTAGTCCTCTTGCGCAAAAAAAAAAAGTCAATGACTTTGCTTTAATGCTTTTTAAAACAATTGCCATGCTTAATTATAGCATATCCCTTTATTTATCTTGATCACTGAACTACGGTAATCAGATCCCAGTTGTGGATGGGAATCTACTGAACATCCACTGAAATTGTATATATTAAATTATATTACACCAAGCCAAGTCCCTCCCCCAATCTTAGAATTATCCCATAGAACTCAGTCTTCTAAGAACTGAGAACTGGACATGCAGAAAAATCCTCCACACATTCAAAACTTGGAGATACAGATTTCCAAAATGTATAAAAGGGCAAAGTGGAAGAAGTAGAAGTAGAGGAAGCAAAATAAAGGAATGCTGAAGATCCCAAAATATTTCCTTAAACTCAGTTCAGATAGCACCTTGCTCAGCGGCAGAAATTCTGGTCCAAATTGTGTTCATAAGTCGAGCACTATCTATATCAAGAGTTTTCCCCAATGAATTCCTTTCCCCATAAGTTATGGGTGAAGCATCTCAATAAAAAGGGGTGTTTCAGCCTTGCAGGACAATAAGGTGACCATTTAGGGAGGACAGTCCTTCTTTTGTAAGTTCTGTCCTCTCGAAAAGTGTCCTCCTACATGTCCTCCTTTTCGATATTTGAAGACTAGTCTGTAAATCTCCGTATTTGATCGATGCCGATCCGATCCGTTGCGTGTGATGTGACGTATTTGTATTTGACATGATGATTCGTCAAGGCTCGATACAGTGCAGCAAGATGCGATTATGAGACACATGAGCTCCGCACAGGAGACTTGTTTTGAGAGAGTGCGCCCCGCGCAACTGGCTTTGTTTACTTCTTAACAAAACACGACACGGCACACGCACACGCATTAGACTCATTGTTGCAATGAATAAAATGTTTCTTTTATTTACGTTATTTTTTTTTCTTCAATTTATTTGTGTCCTCCTTCTCATTGTAAAAAAGTTGGTCACCTTAAGGACAAGAACAACCTTGCAGTTAACATTTTTAGAAAGCCAAGAAAGATAAGAGGGGGGAAAGAAAAGAGGAGGCGGTGGAATGCAATGAATCCGCTTGATAAAAGGAAATAGCCTTATTTTGAAATTCAAACAAAATTCATGATCCATTGCATAGGACTGACTGTCCTATACAGATCGGCCGATCTGTCAATTTTGGTTACTCTCTGTTTCTTATTTCAGCAAATATGTCAGGCTCCATTTGTCAAACTAGAGAAGTCTGTACTGAAATGCTCCACATTTCTTTCAATTTAAGAGACTTCTTTCCTGCTATGTTTCTCGGTGCAGAGTTTAGTAAACAACTCCCCCTAATGTAATATGGTTTCCTTTTTTTTTACATTTTTACATTCCTTTCAAAAATATGTCCATACTGTGCGCAGTATTCCATAATACCTTTTCAGAGAAGCATGAATTTCAAACAACAATGGCTTACCAAGCCAACCTCGCTGGTATTTCAAAGCAATTTTATTCCAGCCTGCATTCAGTTATTAGTTTCATTTAAAGGGCACCTGTTATTGTTGACTCTTTATAATGAAATTATTTTAATTTTGTGTACAGAGCTTTCCATTTTGTTTCCTTTGACTTTATTAACAACTCCTTCCCGCCTCTCACCCCAAACCTGTTAGGAATGGCATGGGCTGTAAATATTGTGTAATAAATAACAATTGCATTGTTAAAAATATGAAATTCGATCATCATTCATTTATCCTTATCACTACCTGATTGGGGCACCCCTGCCCTGTGCTGGCCGCAGGAGAACAGTGATGGTGCTATCCGACTCTCCCAGTGGTGAAGGTATGTCTCCATAATCAAAACTAGGTGCTGAAACAAAGCAAAAGGCAACCATAAAACAGGACTACATTTCACTCATTTTCCAGGTGCACTGTAGAGTTTCAAGCACACCATTGCAGCCACCATCCTGAATATTTTTTTAGCATACGCTATGGATGTGCCAAATGTAAGTAACAATTGTAGTAAACAGCACTACTCACAAGAGCAAGCATCATTATCATTGTTATCATGAGAAATGGCATACCATATGCACTGTATTTATGGACTATAGTTCGTTGCAGAGTCAGCCAAATGTTCAGACAGGACTTCACATTTTTATCCACCCATCAATTCATTCCCAAGGACCTTGGATAGGCAGATGTGGATGTTGGATGGTATTAAAAGTATGGTCACAGAATATAAACTGTTCTAAGTAAAGTTGAATTTGTCACTGCGGATGGTGTTCAAGTGGTACTGTAAGTGTCTGGGGATTGCACCCATTAGAGTAGAATAGAATAACAGAGTTAAAAGGGGCCTTGGAGGTCTTCTAGTCCAACCCCCTGCTTAGGCAGGAAACCCTACACCACTTCAGACAAATGGTTATACAACCTCTTAAAAACTTCCAGTGTTGGAGCATTCACAACTTCTGGAGGCAAGTTGGTCCACTGATTAATTGTTCTAACTGTCAGGAAATTTCTCCTTAGTTCTAGGTTGCTTCTCTCCTTGATTAGTTTCCACCCATTGCTTCTTGTCCTGCCCTCATGTGCTTTGAAGAATAGCTTGACTCCCTCTTCTTTGTGGCAGCCCCTGAGATATTGGAAGACTGCTCTCATGTCTCCCCTAGTCCTTCTTTTCATCAAACTAGACATACCCAGTTCCTGCAACCGTTCTTCATATGTTTTAGCCTCCAGTCCCCTAATCATCTTTGTTGCTCTTCTCTGAACTCTTTCTAGAGTCTCCACATCTTTTTTATATCGTGGCGACCAAAACTGAATTACTAAACCATTACTATGAATACTGGCTTTGCTTTCTTTTGCCACAACTGTTCTATTTCTATTTGTGGGTCTTCGAATTTTGTGATCTTCTCTAGTTTGTTCTCTTCTCTTCTGCTGTTTTCAGGTACTACCACTGTTTTTATTATTGTAATTATTTGCACCTTTTTATTATTTTCTTTTTGTAAATAACTCAAGATAGTGAACAACACAATACTATATCCTCTTCCCATTTTCCCAAAAATAACAATCCTGTGAAGTGAGTTGGGCTGAGAGAAAGTCATTGGTCCAAAGCCATTCAGCGGGCTTTCATGCCTAAAGCGGGACTAGAACTCACAGTCTCCTGGTGATTGGCCAAAGACATCTGGCCAGCTTTCATGCCTACGGCAGAATTAGAACTCACAGTCTCTTGGCTTCTAGCTCTCCCCCCCCACCCCCCCAAATCCTGGCTTTATTACTTTTTACTTCACATTCAGTCAGAGTTTTTCTTTTTTATATACATTTTATTTGTACATTTTTCTTTAACATATATGAGTGCTTAATAAACAGTGTATTGTCTGGGTCAATTTACTTATACATAATATCAATAATAACAATAATATTTACTTGTATATAGCGGTATTCTTCCAACTTCTAATTTCTACCTTTATTGTCTAACCATTTGTAAAATAAATCCCATGTTAAAAAAATATTCTGTGCCTTCTTTATCCTTTATCTTTAATGTTAACCTATCCATTTCCACACAATCAGGATTTTTCTGACCATAATGTTTTTCCCTTAGAAGTAAACCGCAGAGGTTAGATCAATGGTGAAATGTAAAATTTATTATTATCGGTTCTGTGGGCGAGGCTTGGTGGGGGGCGGGGTTATAATGTGACTAGGTGGGCGTGGCCACCTTTTTTTTTTACTTTTAAAACCATTTTTTCTACAACCTCTTCGGCCAAAGAGGTTGTAAAAAAAAATGCTTTTAAAATCCTCTGATGATCAGGCAACTCAGTAGGATCGTCAGAGGCTTTTAAAAGCATTTTTTCTACAACCTCTTCGGCTGAAGAGGTTGCAGAAAAAATGCTTTTAAAAATAATTTTAAAAAGCCTCTGATGATTGCGCGGCTCAGCTAGGCATGGGGGGGCAGGGATTTTTGCTACCGGTTCTCCGAACTTCCCGCCGCCATCGCTACCGAACCGGGAGCATTTCACCCCTGGGTTAGATACTGGGTATGGCTGAGGTAAGCAGTACAGGTAATCCTTGATTTACAACTAGAATTAGAAACTTCCATCACTGAGCAGGGCGATCATTAAGTGAGTCGCTCTTGATTTTATGACCTTTTTGGTTGTCGTCACTAAGCAAATTCGACTTCCCCCACTGACTTTGCTTGTCAAAAGCTGACTGGGAAGGTCACAAATGGTGATCCTGTGATCCCTGGACAGCAGCGATGTTGTGACAGTCATAAATGCAATGACTGGTCATAAGTCACGTTTTCCAACATCATTGTAACGTCAAAGGGGAGCTAAGTGAATCATCATAAGTCGAGGACTACTTGCACCGATTCACACTGAAACATCCCCTTTATAATATTAACTTTTTAGTCTCCTCCACACAGCAAGACAGGCAGGCAAACCTTGAGTTGCACACATTCGGAGAAATCAATTTGAAATTAAGCTGATGGCTGGATGTGACCCTAAGGTCATTCCCAATCCACTCCTGCATTAAACCTCATTCAAAATACTTACAAGAGAAAGAAATAAAAAAAGAAATAGGAAAAAAAAGGGGGGGAGGGCTTGTAGCTGCCTCTTTTTCCCATCTTTACATCGGAGAATAAAAAGTATCACAAGGAGACAAGCCTGCAGATCAAGCCAGATGCTCCTAGCAAAACCATTCTGTGTATCTAAAGGAGCTTTGAAGGAAGTTGAAATGCCTATACAAAAGTGCTGTCTTTTCAACAAAATTAAGTTGTGAGAGGTGCACAATACAATAGCGATTCAATGCAATAGGTGAATTCAATAGAGGTTCAGCGAAATTGCCCAAACTTGACCTTTCTCAAATCAAAATGAACTGTACAATCAGACATGTTCTAATAAGCGGCACATAAATAATTGCAAAGGCGTTACTATTTGTTTCCAAACTTCATCAGTTCAACATCTGCTCGCTTCGGATTGTGCAAGAATTTGACTGAGATCCTATCAAACATCTCCATCAACCTCACCTTTCTTCGCTGAATTTCATTTTTTAAAAAAAAAACACAATAAAACCTGATAATTCCAAACAGATATGGGCAATTCAGAAGCTTCTGTGTTGTTCCCAACAGCCATTTCTGAAATCCAGATTGCATCTAATTCAACCACTCCACCAGATGGATTTTTTTCAAACCAGTTCAAATTGGTCAGTTGGACTGATTTCCTACGTTAAAAATTGCCTATTTGGATGTGGCAATTCAACTGAGATTCTGTCTGATTTGCATAGGCCAAGTGTTCTCCAAAACATCAGTACACTACTGCCCTATTCCAAAACTGTATTATATGCTGTGTCTGTAGGAAATGAAATAATTCCTTTTTTGGATATGTAACTGTTAATCTCGGAGGGGTTGTTTGAGGGAAAAGGGGGGAAGAGTGCATGGTGCATATAAATGGAACATTTTCCCTATGGTTCTATCTCTTGCTTTTATTAATGGTCACAGACTCATGTCCTTAGCTCACAGCAAGAGAAACTACTGTATTTTTTAAAAAAATGTGCATTGCACTGTGCTGATTATTCTAAAAGCAGCTGTTACAGCACAGTCCCCTCTTCCAATGCAAGGGAAGCAAAGGAAAGAAACATAAAGGACGCATTAATTAGACCCACTTTTGACAGAGTAGGACAAATGGAAAACATGGCCAGGAACAACTTTCTAGACTAATAAATGAACAAGATGCAGAAGAAATGTACCTGCTTCATATTCAGAAATGAGCTGACCTCAATTTACGCTCCCCAGAATTAATTTCTGAATCTGAATATAGTCTATTCCTTGTTTGTCTATTTCTCGACGTGTTGCGATGAAATTCTCCCATTCAGAAGTTGAATGAGAGAGTGTCTGCTTCAACACCATGGCTCAATGGCCGGAAGGTACCCAAATCTTCAGTCCCCTGGCCATTGGAGGAGATAATCAGGCTGAGGGAGGGGTCAAACGCATCATAAGCCACAAGTCTCTGCATGCCCACAAGAGATCTAAGACCAGCCCACCTTGAATGCCTTTCTTATCTCCCACTCATTTCCCTTGAACATTAGTTGGTCAGATTCTTGTATAGAATTTAAGCTTGCAATAAATCTTTTATACTCATTAGAACTGCCTGAATCTCCTGATTCAGCATTCACGGTAGGAAAAAAAGAAGCTAGCCAGATGTAGTGGAATGCCCAGTTAGAGTGGGTGAAGAAGCGAAGAGACTGGCGAGCTTAGAACAAGACGTGACACAGACCTGATCTCCCCCAAATCCCTTAAACCCTTTCTTATCTGGTTGTCCCCAAGAGAATGCAGCCAGTCTGGCAAGATTCTTGTAAATAGGCAAGCAGCAATAAAGAAGCTTCTCTGATCAATTCAGGGTGTTGCTCTGGTTCCTTGCGCCTGACACCAGCAAATGCTAGTGTAGATATTCCCTTAGTTGGACTACAGGTAGTTCTCAATGTCTGACCAAAATGAAGCCTACCCATTACAAGAGCCTCGGTGGTGCAGCGGACTAAGTGCTGTTAAGTGCTAGCACTTAGCTGCCAGCTCCCTGCAATTAGTGCGAGTTCAAATCTCACCAGGCTCAAGGTTGACTCAGCCTTCCATCCTTTCGAGATAGGTAAATTGAGGACCTGGATTGTGGGGGCAATAAGCCAGCTTTGTATAGAACAACACCGCTTAGGAGGGGCCGAAAGCCCTAATAAGCAGGTATATACATAACAGTATGCAGGCTATTGCTATAATGCATTGTAAGCCGCCCTGAGTCTATGGAGAAGGGCGGCATATAAATTGGACTAATAAATAAAATAAATAAATAAATCACAGGTTGTAAGGTTGTAAAATGACCAATCCGATTTTAGGGG